TGAAAGAGGGTGTGGATCTTACTGGGACGCCTGGTGCATTGAGAGGGTGGCCTGAAGCCTTTTTTTCACGTTTCAAGGGCAGGTTTCTGTGCTTTGAGCATTTTGGAGGTGAGGGTCAGAGGCCGCTGTGCCTGTTTTATTGCTGAAACAGAGGTTTGTGCTGAATAGACACCCTGACTTGTGGGGTGTTCTCATTATTGTGGTTTAAAATAATCCAGAATAATGAAAGCATAATATGCTAATTAGACCGGATGTCCTTCCTTTGGGCAAAGCTGCAGCGGGCCGGGCCCGGGACCAAGGCCCTCGCACGATTGTAGAGGACCGGGCAGCACTGGGACGTGTTAGTGCCAGGTGTGCAGTGCAATGGCTCAGTACATGTACATACTGCAAAACGATCATAGTAGGTTGTTAACATCAGCCACCACGCATAGGCATAGATACTTTTCTTGTAACGAGAACAGTATCACTTTTATTAGAATCAGGAGGAAAAAAGATCAGATGTGTTTTATTTTGGGAAACGTCACTTCTGCTCAGATTTCGCCGTCGGGTATGGGTATGGCGTAAGCTTCAAACCAGATGACTCTAATTACGTGAGAACGTTTCTTTGGGGGGGGGGGGTGCACTGTGCCTTTAAGACGGTCAGGAGTTCGGACACAGCCTGCCTGTGGGCCGCGCTGCCTGCCCCGTGGAGGGGGGGCAGCCTTTGATCCTCCCTTCCTGGCGAGCAGATGTGATGGGAAGAGCCCGGGCCACTTGGTGTGCCCAGTGCTGCCGGGCTCCTAATGGGCCGTTCCCACGGGCCTGCTAACGCTGCCGGAGCCGTGCCCGGGCCTGCCCGGGCAGAGGGGTGCCCGCCTCACCTGGCGCAGAGGAGCCCCCGCTGCCCCCGTGGGACGCGCCCCGCATCTGTTTCTGTTTCCGCGCAGCTCTGAGGGCTTGGATGCTGCCTGGGGGCGGGGACGGTGGTGGTTATCTTTCCTGGATGTGCGGGCAGCACCTGCCTCAGTCCCTCCCGCAGGCCTGCACGTCCTCTCGGGCACAGCACGGCACCATGTGACAAATGCTGCAAGGCTGACTGTGTCTCGTATTAAATATATGTAATCATGTTTTATACATGCATGTAGCATGCTAGAAGCACTCCAGGCAAGCTGTTAATCTCATACCATTAGGAGCTGACAGCTGACAGGCAGGGCCCCTAGAGGGGAGGAGGAGGGGGACCAGGGGAGGAGGGGGCTGAAGGGAGGAGGAGGGGGACGAAGGGAGGGGGGAGAAGGGGCTTGAAGGGAGGAGGGAAGAGGGGGGACCAAGGGAGGTGAGGGAAGAAGGGGAGGAAGGGGGTTGAAAGAAGGAGAAGAGGAGGGAGGAGGGGAGGGGAAGGGGGACTATGGGAGGAAGAGGGCCAGGGGAGGAGGGGAGAGGGGGGAGAAGGAGAAGAGGGAGGACCAGGGGAGGTGAGGGAAGGAAGGTAAGAAGGGGGTTGAAAGAAGGAGGGAGGGAGGAGGGGAGGGGAAGGGGGACTATGGGAGGAAGAGGGCCAGGGGAGGAGGGGAGAGGGGGGCGGAGGGGGAACCCGGGGGGAGGAGGGGCCTCCAGAACTCAGCAATCTTTCCTAAGCTGCTGTCAGGCCCACGTCAGTGGTTCCAAGGCCCCAAAGGCGATGGCAGAGGGACGGGACGCACCAAAGCGGAGTGTAGGGAACGGCTGACGAGGTGGTTTGGGCTAGACCCCTGGTCGGCAAACTGCGGCTCAGGAGCCACAGGTGGCTCTTTGGCCCCTTGAGTTTTTAGCAAAGGCCAGCTTAGGAGGACCCTGATTAAGTTAATAACAATGTACCTACCTACACAGTTTAAGTTTAGAAAACCTGATTCTCAAAAGAAATGTCAATCGTTGTCCTGTTGATATTTGGCTCTGTTGACTAATGAGTTTGCTGACCACTGGGCTAGATAGTGCTCAGGCCTGGGCCTGCATCTGAATTGCCAGGAGGGCTTGTGCCAGCACACCAGCAGCCCAAGCCCTTGCCCAGGTAATGCCCATGGGACTGGCCAAGGAGTGCCCTAGGAGCCCAGCTTCCCTCTGTGGCCGCTGGGAGCTGCTGAAGGTTTTGGAGTGAGGGGCAGAGCTGGCGAGCGGAGGGGCAGGAGGTGGGTCTGGCAGGAGAAGGGGGGACACACAGACGGGAGGGCTGCCGAGGACCTGGGCTCCCACAGGCTTGGCAGGCCCGAGGGCAGCGGCCAGCTCGGAGCGGGTTCATTTGGGGCCCGTGGGCGGTGCTTCTGTGGCTTTGTTCCACGCATGCCCACATCCCAGTGTCCACCAGGCGTGCCTGGGGCCAAGTCCCTGCCCCCCCCCCCCCCCCCGCACTGATGACCTTGGCCTCACAGCCAACCCGACCTATCCCGTCAGGCCCGCCAAGTTCATGGAGATAAATGCAGACCTTGTTGATTTTGTGAGGCTGTGCCCATTTGTTGCATTTGAAAAGGTTAGAAAAATAATATAGCCCTCTTTCTTTCTTCCTTCCTTCCTTGCTTTTTTTTTTTTTTTTTTTGAGGGGAAGGAGGGAGTTCTGGGTTTTTTTTACATGAATGAACTATTTCATTGAGGCACTTACTCAATTGCTCTTTAAAAACGAATTTTGGTATTTACATCTGTGGGTCTTAACTCTGAGTGACAGCCTAGCATTTTTTATATTTGTTATGTAAACCCTGTCCTTTCGAAACAAAACGCAACACTACCTAGTATATAAAATTATTATTTTTTAAAATATATTTTTATTCCCTTCAGGGAAGAAGGGAGAGGGAGATAGAGAGAAACATCAATGATGAGAGAGAATCATGGATCAGCTGCCTCCTGCATGCCCCCTACTGGGGATTGAGCCTGCAACCCAGGCCTGTGCCCTTGACTGGGAATCAAACCATGACCTCCTGGTTCATGGGTCCATGCTCAACCACTGAGCAACGCCGGCGAGACTAAAATTATTATTTTTTAAATTAACTTTATTGGGGTGACATTGGCCAATAAAATTATATAGGTTTTAAGTATGCAATTCTATGGTACATCATCTGTATATTGTCTTTGCGTCTACCACTCAAAGTCACATTGTCTTCTGGCACCATGTGTTTGACCCACTTAAAGGTAATTTTAAAAGTTGAAGTGAATTTAGATGGATCTTGGTTTTACGGGAGCCTTGTCGTGATGAATGGTTTTATCTGGGGAGCCAGGAAAGCTGGTGTGAATTGTCAGGGCCAGAGCTTTTCAGGAAATTGTGATGATGAAAGGAATGTTCGTGCTGAGTAAAGATGATATTTGGGCACTGGCTGGTGTGGCTCAGTGGATAGAGTGTGGGACTGAGGACTGAAGGGTCCTGAATTCGATTCCGGTCCAGGGCACGTACATCGGTTGCAGGCTCAATCCCTGGCCCTGGGTAAGGTGTGTGCAGGAGGCAACCAATGGACATGTCTCTCTTACATCGATGTTTCTTTCTCTGTCTCCCCCCTCGCCCTTCCGCTCTCTGTAAAAGAGGAAAAATATCCTCTGGAGAGGATTAACAGTAAAATGAAAAAAAAAAAGATCTTACATCTGCTCTTGCTTTCACTCCTGCTGCACAGGCCAGTGTGAGCCAGACCTGAGGGACAGGGACAGAGAATTCCAGGTGGCACTAGGCTCTGTGCCCAGACTTCGCACCCAGCGTCCTCAGGATGGTCACTGAGTGACTGGCACGAGGGTGCTGAGCAGCTTGTCTCTTACCGTCACAGGCGCACCCGCTTCAGGCCACAGGTGCCTGCGGACAAGCAGCCGGAACCTTCTCTGACCCCAAACAGGCTCACTGTGCCCCAGGAAGCTCACAAGCCCGGCAGAAGCACGCCTGTTCCAGGGGACTGTCCCGTTCCCAGTGCCGTGACAACCTCGGTCATATAGCTTGCAGTGTAACCCTTCCCACCGGGTTCACTTGTTTATTCTTTTTATGCATCTTTATTGATGTCAGAGAGGAGGGGAGAGGGAGAGAGAGGGAAACATCAACGACGAGAGAGAATCATGGATCTGCTGCCCCCTATACGTCCCCGACATGGCCCTGACCAGGCATCGAACCATGACCTCCTGGATCATAGGTCAGTGCTCCATTGTCAACCACTAGGCGGGCTGTTTCTTGGTGTGCTATCTTCCAAGAAGGAAGGACACTGGCCCAGTAACCCCTAGTAACCTGCGGCATTCCAGAGTGTGATGTCCCGGGGTGTAAGGCTCCCCTTGCCCCGCCCCCTCTCCCCAGCCTTCCTTGTCTCTCTGCCTCTGTTCAATCAGTCTAGTCCCTTTCCTTCATTAGCTAGCGGTGACGGTCTGGAGATGAAAGAAGTGGACATTGTAGCCCTGAGGAAGCCGCCTGGAACTGCCACTCACAGGGCCAGGGCCTTCCTCATGGGGATCTTGGGAAATGCCATGAGGGACGGTCTTGGTTGACGACCCCTTCCCATGTTTGACACTAGTTCGTAGACAGCTGTCGTCAAGTCCATGCAGCCCATGTTCTGCCTGCCACCCATGTTGTCGGGGTTTAGGTGGTACATGCTTTCTGGTTTTATCTTTAGTATTCTTTATTGTATAATATTCTTTGTTTTTTAAATATAGCTTTATTGATTTCAGAGAGGAAGGGAGAGAGAGAGAGAGAGAGAGAGAGAGAGAGAGAGAGAGAGAGAAACATACATCAATGATGAGAGAGAATCGGGGTTCGGCCGCCTCCTGCACGCCCCACACTGGGGATGGAGCCCACAACCCAGGCCTGTGCCCTGATCGGGAATTGAACTTGACCTCCTGGTTCCTAGGTCGATGCTCAACCACTGCGCCACACTGGCCGGGCATCAAGAGACATTTAAAAAGCGCGCTTGTGCTTAGGGCAGCGGGCAGCACCTGGACACGGTGCTAGGCATCAAGCAGAGGTCGCTGTGGCTTGGTGGCCGCCTCGGCATGACCATGTCCCGTGCGCAGCCCCTGAGTCGTGTGTGCTCTTTCAGGAGGAACGAGCTGAGCTGGAGGCCCCACTCCTGGCACGCCACCAAGTTCTCCGACAGCCACCCCGAGACGCCCACCTGCCAGCTGTCCTCCGCCGGCGCCTGCCCATCTTGGCACGGCCACCACCACACCAGGTAGGCGCGCTGCCCGCACGATGGGGGATGACTCCTCCCTTGAGTTGGAATGATTTGTGTCCCTGATGAGCCAAGGCCGTGGACGCACCCATGTTCGGCTGCCTCCTGCACACCCCTCATTGGGGATCAAGCCCACAACCCGGGCATGTGCGCTGACAGGGAATCAAACCCTGACCTCCTGGTTCATAGGTTGACACTCAACCCCTGAGCCACGCCGGCCGGGTCTGCGGTGACAATTGTAACGCAAGCTCTCCCTCTCTTCTTGCCTCACAGCGCCTCCTCCCAGGACCTGTCCGGTGCGTGGGAGCCGTCGAGCCTGCAGCGCACCTCGGACCACTTCAGCTCCCTGGGCAGCGTAGACAGCCTGGACCAGCCCTCCCAGCCCTCCCCTTCCCCCTCCGGCCGCCTCTCGGCCGCTAAGTCCAGCGGCAGCATCGATCACCTGGGCGGCCCGAGCAAGCGGGACTCGGCGTACGGCTCGTTCTGCACCAGCTCCAGCACACCCGACCACACCCTGCCTAAGGCTGATGCCTCGTCCACAGACAACATCCTCTACAAGGTGGGCCTGTGGGAGGCGTCGCGGCCCAGCGGCCGGGGGGATCCCCAGGGCCTAGAGGAGAGGCCCGGCTGCGTCCCCTCCAGGGGCCCCCGGGACAGCAGCAGGAGCCCCCGGCCCGAGGATGCACCGGAGCCCAAGCTGGCCCCGTCGGGGAGGTCCAGCTTTGGGCCCATCTGGCACGTTCCCGATAAGAAGAGGGCACCTCCTTCCCCCCCGCCGCCGCCGCCCCCTCTGCGCAGTGACAGCTTCGCCGCCACCAAGAGCCACGAGAAGGCCCAGGGCCCTCCGTGCCCTGAGGCGGCCACCGCGCAGCACTTTCCGGGCCGGAGCCGGGCTCAGAGCCAGGGCGACTGGAGGGCAGAGCCCCCCGATCCGCAGCGGAAGCCAGCCCGCCCCGGTGAGCGGAGGCGGCCCGAGAGCTCGGGCTGTGCTGCCGGCAGCCCCCTGGATTGCGGGTGGCCGTCCAGCCACGGCGCCCCCAGCCGGCTGCACTCCTCTCTGTCCAGCACCGACGTGCGCTTCCCGCCGTCCGCCTATGCATGCCAGCACCCACGCCAGAGCAGTGACGAGAGTCCCTTCCTCCGCGAGGGCCCCAGGGCCACCGTGGTGCCCAGGGGGCAGCCGCGTGGCATCGTCACCCACAGCTTCCAGGACGCCAGCTCCGCCCTGGCCAGGCAGCCTGGTGCCGCTGAGCGCAAGGGGGACAGCGCGGGGCAGAGCCACCACCGCTCCGCGGCCACCAGACAGGGCCCCCCGGGGGGCGCCCAGGCGGCTCAGCCCCGGGAAGGCTGCTGGCGCTGCGACTCGCCCCTGGGGCCCCATGCTTGTCCTGCCACACACTCAGCAGGCCAGAGGCCACGCTGTCACCCCCCTCTCCACCAGGAGGCCCTGGATGCCCCTGAGGGGGACCCAGGAGACAGAGGGTCAGAGGAGCCGCAGAGAGCCCGCCACGGCGACAGAGTGCAGAGAGTCTCGGATGGGGAGAGCGGCCGGATCTCCGCCCGCGGGACGCCCCTGCTGCACTCGCTGGCCCGGGAGGGGCCCCGGCCCGAGGCCGGCCCGGAGGGCGGCAGGGACAGGCCGGCGCCCTTCGATGCCCAGGTGGGCAAAGCCACCCGGAGGAGCGACCGCTTCTCCACCACCCTCCGCAACGAGATCCAGCTGCGGCGCGCGCGGCTGCAGAAGAGCAAGAGCTCCATGGCGCTGGCGGCGCCCGAGGCCGGCGGGGAGGCCGGCGGCTGGCGGGGGGCACTGGGGGGACCAGCTGCGGGGGCCCCACTGCTGGGCACCTACAAGGACCACCTGAAGGAGGCCCAGGCCCGCGTCCTGCGGGCCACGTCTTTTAAGCGCCGCGACTTGGATCCCGGCCCGGCCGGTCCCCGGGAACCCAGGGCCGGGGACCCCCACCCAGATCCCGATGCTGCCTCCCAGGGCGCGGGCCCGGCCAGGCCGCCCGCATCCGGAGGGGGCCCGGCCCACGTGGCCCGCATCGGGGGCCGGAAACGGTTCACGGTGGAGCAGAAGCTGAAGTCATACTCGGAGCCGGAGAAGATGAACGAGGTGGGGCTCTCAGGGCCTCCCTGCCCCCGCCCGCACCCCGACGACACAGTGGGGACGTTCGCCGACAGGTGGAAGTTCTTTGAGGAGACCAGCAGGCTGGTTCCGCAGAGGCCCAGGTCCAGGCAGGCGCTCCCCGGGGTCGCGAAGGAGAAGCCGGACAGGCTGCGGGCCGCGCGCCCCGGGGACCCGGGCGCCGAGCCCCCGCCCCAGGGCAGGGCCCACACCACCTCCTTTGGAGAAAACGCCGAAGGTCCCAGGAAAGCGGGCAGGACGGGGACATCGGAGCCGCCACAGAGGCTTGGGACCTTTGCAGAGTATCAGGCCTCTTGGAGGAAACAGAGCAAAGGCCCAGAGGCCAGGGGCTCGGGGAGGTACCACTCGGCCGACGACATCCTGGACGTGGGCCTGGACCAACAGGAGAGGCTGCAGTATGTTCACGAGAGGTCACGGTCATCGCCCTCCACAGACCTTTACAAACAGGTGAGCGTACACGTGGGCAAGCTCACGGTCACCCCACCGCTGTCTTTTATTTATTTTCTAAAGTTTTTATTTTTATTTTTATTGAATTCAGAGAGGAAGGGAGAGGGGGAGAGAGAATTATCAATCTGCTGCCTCCGGCACGCTCCCCACTGGGAATCGAACCTGCAACCCGGGCAAGTGCCCTGACTGGGAAGCATACTGTGACCTCCTTCCTGATTGATAGGTCAATGCTCAACCGCTGAGCCACGCTGGCCAGGCTTGGCCACTATCTAAAGGACCTATAAGGTACCCCCAGATATAACGGGCAGCACCAGCATGACTTGTGCCCACTCAGTGCAGCATTCATAGCGCTGTGTGAGAGGGACCTGGACAACCTCCGCTTTTCACGGCGCTTTTAGGTGTCCTGATTCACCCCCAGCGGGGTTCCCCACCCTCTCTGGCTGCAGCTGTCTCCCCCTCTCTCAGTAGCTTGTCTCTGCCTTGGTTACGAGCAAAGAACTTGAGGGACTGTAGAGGATGGCAAGCTGTCCTCCGAAATGAAGAGAGGCTTTCAAACATGGATGGCATTTAATCATTTAATGTTGTTAGTGTCTGTTCTTCTTAGTATTTCCCCCAAATCTCTTTAAAGATTGCTCTCGGGCACATGTAATGAAAAAGCCACGCAGCCCTGATCAGTGAGGCTCGGCTGGTTGAGCATCGTCCCGTGCACCAGAACGATGGCTGGTTCGATTCCTGGTCAGGGCACATGCCCAGTCTGTGGGTTCAGTCCCCGGTTGGGGTGCAAACAGGCAATCAATCTGTTTCTCTATCACCTCTCTCTCGCTCGCTCGCTCGCTCTCTCTCTCTCCCTCCCTCCCTCCCTCCCTTCTTCCCTCCCTCCCTCTCTCTCTTTCTCTCTTCCTCTCTCTTGCTCTACCTCTAAAATCAATAAAAACATTTATTTAAAAAAGGCACTGCAACATGATGCTATTGCCCTTTCTTTTAAGGTAAGAGTTTTGATGGTCAAAGTTGAGGTAAGTTTCTAGCAAACAGCGTATTTGTGTCCATGCTTCGACACCAATAGTTTCTCTCCCTCTCTCTCTGCTTTTCTCGCCTCTTAAACCTGCACTTGTGTTTGTCCAGGTACATATTTCCTGCAGCACCAGGTGCAGCTTCTTTTTAAAAGGACCAGCAGTAAAGCCTGGCTGGTGTGGCTCAGTGGTTGAGTGTCGACCTATGAACCAAGAGGTCGCAGTTTAATTCTGGGTCAGGGCACATGCCCACATTGTGGGCTTGATCCCCAGTAGGAGACGTGCAGGAGGCAGCCAATCGATGATTCTTTCTTATCATGGCTGTTTCTATTTCTCTCTCCCTCTTCTTGCTTCTCTGAAATCAATAAAAATATATTTTAAAAAAGAGAACTGCAGTAGGATATCGCACAGCATTCAGGGTGTGTGTGTGGAGAGCCTGAGTTCTGGAAGGCCAGGAGTGTGTGTTTCTGCCCTGGAGGTGCCCTGGCCCGCAGCCCACGCAGCGTGACCCGTGAGGAGTCCCTGCCGCTCAGTCAGGAGACAAGCATCCCACAGGCTGGCGAGTCCTGGGCTCGAGGCTTCGCCCAGTGAGCAGGACCAGCCGGTTGGGGGTTTTGGCCAGTGTATCCTTGTGTAGGAGTTCTGCTCCCTTTCCAGGACCGCGATGGATGTGGGTCTGATGTGTGTGTGTGTTTTTTTGTTTTTTTAAAAATATTTATATTGATTTCAGAGAGGAAGGGAAAGGGAGAGAGAGAAACATCAATGATGAGAATCACTGATTGGCTGCCTCCTACATGCCCCACTGGGGATGGAGCCTGCAACCAGGGCATGTGCCCTGGACCGGAATTGAACCTGGGACCCTTCAGTCTGTAGGCTGACACTCTGTCCACTGAGCCACACCGGCCAGGGCAGTCTGCTGGGGTTTTGGCGCAGGTCTGCAGAGGGCGAGCTCCAGCCCACGGCTGGCCAGCGTGGGGCCCAGCCCGCAGACCCGTGGGGCGCGCCCAGGCGCGGGCTGGCAATAGGGGTGTCTGGGAGAAGGCGGCGATGACTCGTCTCTCTGTGCTGCCCGTGGCAGGAGGCGCCCGTGGAGCCGAGGCAACAAGCGGAGGACCCTGGCGAGCACAGAGAACATCCCTCCGCAGTCCCAGTTGAGGACGGGGGTCCCGCCCCGAGGTAGGCAAACTTGGGGAGCTGTGACTAAGAAGGCTTCGGGGGTGGGTTTCTTTATGGGGTGAACGCCTGGTTGAACAGGGTCGGCAGCTGGGTTTGGCCAAACCTGAAGGGGCTGCTAACTGGGCTGCTGCCTTTCCCCAGAATGCACCTGGGTACCCGGTGCCCACCACCTCTCCATTCCCAGCCATGCTTTCCTCTCCAGGCTGGGCTTTAAGCCATGTTTTATGCCCGGCTGGTGTGGCTCAGTGGGTGAGCATCAACCCATGAGCCAAGAGGTCATGGTATATATGAGGTTGGGTAGTATGCGGGGTCTCAGGAATCCACCGGGGTCTTGGAACATATACCTCATGGGTAAGTGCGTGCAAATTTGATGTCAGTTAAAAAAAAATCTCAGTCCATACTGGGAATCCACAAGGAAAAATTTTTTGTTTTCTTTGTTTATTTATTTTACTTTTTTAAAAAAATGTTTTTACGTGAGAGAGAGAGAGAGAGAGATTGTTGTGAGAGGGAAACATCCTATGCACCCTAACCAGGGACCATACTCACCACCCAGGCATGTATCCTGACTGGGAATCGAACCGGTGACCTTTTGGTGCCCAGCATGCCACTCAACCAACTGAGCCGCAGGGGCCCGGCCTATTTTTAAAAAACATTTTGTTTTATTCAAAATGAGGCCATGCGTCCCTCCGGGGGTAATCATCCGCAGGCAGGTCTGAGAAGGCAGCTGTGGCCCAGAGGCTGACAGACGGGAGGTCTGTACGCTGCCTTTGGGGCGCTGTCCCCGCTCTGTGGCCGCGGCCGTCTGGCCGGAGCACGGGTGCAGCCAGAGCCTGCCACCCAGCCGGCGGTGCCCGGTGACACCTCACCGAGCAGGCTTGCGCCCTGGGTTTGGTCCAGGGTGGTGGGTACGGTCCATGGGGCGGTCCAGACATTTCCAAAGAGGCTTCTTTCGGGATTCTCTTGCAATTGGAAATGCACTCCTCTTGTGAGCGGGACATGATGTGTCTCCTCTGGTGGCTGGCTTAGCGAGCTGTGTCGTCCACTCGAGCGGCCGTGCCTCTAGGGCGCGAAGGTGCAGGAGAGCGCAGGATGCCGGGAGATGAGGGTGCGGGTGGAGAGACCCTGGGAACCCGAGGGTGGGCATGGCCCTCAGTTCAGGAGAAGTGACTTGGGGAAGGTTCGAGGCTTCCCGAGGCTGCGGGAGAGGCTGGCAGGAGGAGTTCTCCGGAATGTGTGCGCCTGGGGTGTTCGTTTGGTTTCGTTCCTTTATTTGTGGAATTGTTCATGGGCACAAATGCCCTGTGCCAATTACAGGCAGATTGGTATGCGGTTTGTTAGAAGCATTTCCAGCGTAAAGTCTTAAGCTTTGAAATGCACAAGCTGTGAAAAGGTCTGAGCGTCTTATAGGCCCTGCTGAGTATGGCTCACTCTAAGAACAAAAAAGTGGTTTGTCTTCAGAAAGACCTCAGCGGGTCTCCTTAACAGCATTCCTCCAGCACCACCAGCACCCGGGGCTGGGATTCCCATACGCTTCTGTAGCGGCAGCAGCCAGGGCCTCGAGGAACGGCTGTCTTTATTATTATTATTATTATTATTATTATTATTATTATTACTAGTGGCCCGGTGCATGAAATTCGTGTGGGAGGGGGGTTTCCCTCAGCCCGGCCTGCACCCTCTCCAATATCGGACCCCTTGGGGGAATGTCCGATGGCCGGCTTAGGTCTGATTCCTAAACTGGCAGTCAGACATCCCTCTCACAATCCTGGACCATTGACTCCTAATCGCTTGCCTGCCTGCCTGATCGCCCCTAACCATTCTGCCTGCTCATCCCCAACTGCACCCCCCTGCCAGGATGCTTGCCCCCAACCGCCCCTCGCTGGCCTGATCACCCCAAACTGCCCTCCCCTCCTGGCTGGATCACCCCTAACTCTCCCCATCCTGCCAACCTGATTGCCCCCAGCAGCCCCCCGCCCCCATTGGCCTGGTCACACCCAACTACTCCCCACTGCTGGCCTGCTCACCCCCAACTCCCCTCCCCTCCTGTCCTGATTGCCCCTGGCCGCCTTCACCTCAGCCCCGCCACTGCCACCATGGTTTGGGCTTTGTCTAGAATAGGGGTGTCGAACTCAATCAGAGAAGGGGCCAAAATCTAAAATCCAGCCTAAATCGCGGGCCGAATGGTTTACTGAACAGTCATAAACTGTCATTGTGATGGAAACGCAGCGGAGTGCAGTGATGACAGCGCGGTGCGGGCCACATTGCAAGGCCTGGCGGGACGGATTTGGCCCGCGGGCCTTGTGTTTGACACATGTGGACTCTAGAAGGACGTCTGGAAGGACTCCCGGAAGGTCTCCTGGTCTAATTAGCATATTCCCCTTTTATTAGTATAGGTTATTATTATTATTTAAAATATATATTTTTATTGATTTCATAGAGGGAAAGGAGAGGAAGAGAAAGAGAGAAACATCAATGATGAGAGAGAACCATGGATTGTCTGCCTCCTGCACGCACAACACTGGGGATCGAGCCTGCAAACCGGGCATATGCCCTTGACCGGGAATCACCCCATGGTCTCCTGGTTCGTAGGTGGATGCTCAACCACTGAGCCACGCCGGGCTGGCACGGAATGGCTGAGTCTTAGGCAGGAGCCTGGGGTGTCTTGTGCCAATAAGTGAGGCCATGCTGACGGGAAGGAAGGATAGAAGGGAGGGAAGGAGGGAGGGGGGGGCAGCAGGAAGAATGTGGGCTTGGCATCAAGGACAGGCTGAAATCATCATTGTATCAGGCCTAAGCTTGCTAATAACTCACCCCTGGCTGGTGGGAGGTCCTAGCAGCCTTCCCTGCAGGCTTATGTAACTGCTTCATGGGTGTGATGGGAATGCCTCTGCACTCGCTGGAGATCAGGCGGGACTGAGAACCAGGGAACAGTCACTCCCACCGACACAGCGGCGACACCGCAGAGCAGCGTCTCACTGGTCATGAGAGGGAGCCACAGTCATGGCTGTGGGCTTAGAAGGGGCTGGCAGAGCAGGTTGAAAAGAGAAAGTCCTCCCTGAGGGTGAAGTGCAGACCTGGGAAGGGGCTGTTAGGGACTGGGGGGAGGGGCACTTCCTGGGGGAGGGGCGAGGCCCTGGCATCTCAGCCGCATGGGGAGGGGAGAGAGGGGGAGGGGGACTGTGAATACAGATCATTGTGAGGTGACAGATGGGCTAGCCGGGTCAGCCTGCCACCTCTTTGTCTGTGTCCCTCAATGCCTGGCCACAGTGAGACTCCCAGGAGCACTTGGCTAGCTGCAGGGTGGATTCCATTCCTAAAGAGTGCATACACGCAGCTGTGAATCTGCTTAAAAAAAAAAAAATTGAATCCTTTATTGTCGAAGGTATTACATATGTCTCCTTTTTCCCCGTTGACCTCTCCCCGGCTGCCCCCCTCCCCAGCACATGTCCCTGCCCCCCTGCTGTCTGTGCCCATTGGTTATGCTTATTGCTTATATGCATGCATACAAGTCCTGTGGTTGATCTCCCCTCCCCCCCCCCCCCAAACCCACTTTTGAATGCTTTAAACCTCATGGTTCCAGCGGACTTGATTGGGGTGTGGAGTTGAACTGGGTCCCTCACACATTATGTGATCATCTGGCTTCGTGAACAGAGAAAGCATGTAAAATTCATGCCGTCAGGGAGGGACTGGAGAGCATCATGCTAAGTGAAATAAGTTCATCAGAGAGAGACAAGCATCCCGTGATCTCACTCATGTGTGGAATCTAATGAACAAAATAAACTGGGGAGCAAAACAGATCCAGAGACACAGAAGCATGGAACAGAGTGCAAATCTCTCTCAGAAAGATGTGTGTGGGGGAGGAGGGGGAGGGAGATTAACCAAAGACTTGTATGCAAATATGCACGGCATGGCCTGTGGACACAGACTCCAGGTTGGTGAAGGCCGGGGGGGGGGGGGGGGGGGGGGGGGGTAGGGGGAGGCTGGAGGGGATCAATGTGGGAAAAGGAGGACATAGGGAATACTTTCAGCCATAAAGATGTAAAATAAAATAAGATTCATGCAGTCAGCTTTTCTCTGTTCCCTCCTTTAAATTAGCAAAAGGATGCCAGCCAGGCTTTGGGGTTGAAGCGTAGGAGTCCTGGGAACTCCCCCTGGGGTCAGGAGCTGCCGGTATAGTGACTGATGGGCAAGGGCGCCTGAGTCACGGAGGTGCGAGGAGCCTGCGTGGACTTGTCCGTCACGAGGGAGGGGAGGCAGCAGCGCAGGCAGGCGCCGTGGGAGCAGACTGGCCGCCGTGGGGAGCAGGCAGGCCAGGCTCCGGGCTGCAGGCGGTGCGGCGGGAGGTGCGGGGGGCCGGGGACCGGGGGCCGGGACCTTGAAGGCAGCTGGGCACCTGATGCAGCAGGCGGAGGCCCGGGTAAGAGTCCCATCGCGTGTCCCTCGGCGTCCCCCGCCACCACCGGTGCGGTGCGCCGGGCTGGGGGCTCCCAGCGCCTCTTTGTTCTCGGGCTGGCAGAGCCGCTTGTGGCTGGGGCAGTGCGGGAGGTCTGCACGCGTTCTCCTCGCTCATTGTTCCGCCGGAGGCTGTGGGATCCCGCACGGCGGGGGCACAGGCTCAGCACGCGTGCGCGCGGTGCCGCCTGCGCCTGGAGACCCGCGGCTGGGGCCGTGCGGGCGGTGCGGACGGCTGTGCAGCAGGCTCCCGCGGTCCTCCCTTGATCCTCCCGCGGTCCTCCGCTCTGCTCTGCGGGGTGCCGGGCCTTGCTAACCTTCCCTGCGGAGGGTCCCGGAGCTGGCGCCAGCGGGTGGGGGCTGGTCTTTCTGCCTCCGCCTCCCCCTTCCCAAAGGCGTGAGAAGCCAGCGCAGGGTGACCAGGCGCTGGAGGCGGATGCGGAAGGAAATGGTGAGTCAGCCCATCCACATGGGAAGAAGGTGATGCGAGCAGGTGTGCATGCTTGGTCATGAAAACGGTAAACACTCGCCCTGCCTCTGCGGGAAGAACG